ATAAAAAAGGAAGTGTTACATATTTTTCACACGAAATACAAAACGAATTTTTAGAAATTATTGCAAATAAAGTTAGGAAAACAATATTATCACAAATTAAAAGCGCTACATATTATTCATTATTATTCGACTGCACGCCAGATATCTCACACGAAGAGCAAATGTCTCAAGTTATTCGTTATGTGGTTGTAAATGAAAATGGATGTGAAATCGTGGAAAGTTTTCTAGGTTTTTTACAAGTTTTTAAAAAAACTGGTGAGGCAATAACAGAAGATATTTTGAGAAGCTTATCTAATCATAGTATTGATTTATCCTACTGTCGTGGTCAATCATATGACAATGGAGCTAATATGGCCGGGAAATGGAAAGGTGTTCAAGCTAGGATCAGTTCTATAAACTCTTTGGCTAGGTTTATTCCTTGTACGGCCCACAGTCTAAACTTAGTAGGCTTATATGCCGCTAAATGTTCACCAGAATTAGAACAATTCTTTGGTATAGTTCAAAAACTGTTCAATTTTTTCTCTAGTTCTACTCAAAGATGGGATATTCTTAAACAACATCTTAAATTTTCAATGAAAGGTTATAGTACGACCAGATGGTCTGCAAAACAACGCGCTGTTAAATCATTATATTTGCAGTTAGGCCAAGTTATTCATGTTTGTAAGTTACTCAAAAATAGTAATTTATGTGAAGAAGCAAGTGTTGAATTAAATGGTTTGTTGAAAGGGATAACAAATTTTAATTTTATATGTATGTTAATAATATGGAATAAAATATTAAAGGCAATTGATAGAGTTAATGTAATTTTACAAAAACAGAACATTACAATAGATATAGCGACTCAACACTTAAAAGGTCTGATACATTTTATTGAGAAATTTAGGGAAGAAGGTATTGATGAAGCACTTGATGAATCAAAACAAAAATCAACTGAGCTATCAATTGAACCGGTATTTCCATCGATTCGAGTTAGAAAAAAGAAAAAAATGCCTGGTGAATTAGCGGAGGACGAATCATCAACATTATCGGAAGAAAATAAATTTAAAATTTTAATGAAAAACGTCTGTGATAGAATCTTGAACGGTTTAAAAGAAAGATTTGACTCAATTGATGAAGCTGCAAAAGATTTTTCTTTTTTAGATGGAAAGTTTTTATTTAGTATGCCAACAATTCAATTAAAAAAACATGCTATGGACTTTTGTATAAAATATGAAAAAGATATTGATAAAAACGAATTTATTTTAGAATTGGATAGTTTTACTCAACATGCAATTCAATTGGATAATAAATTAATAAATGCTAGTTCACATGAAATTTTAAATTTTATTCTTAAAAATGGTCTTCAAGAAGCTTATCCTAACATATTCACAGCTTATCAAATATTTTTGACATTACCCGTAACATCGGCATCGTGTGAACGTAGTTTTAGTAAACTGAAACTAATTAAATCATATCTAAGATCAACTACAAAGCAAACAAGATTAAATGACCTGTCAATTATATCCATTGAGCACCAAGTTGCTAAATCTATAGATTATGAAGATATCATTAACGAATTCGCGTCAAAAAAATCAAGAAAAATAATTATTAAATAGGTATTTATTAAATATAGGTTTAATTTCCAAATTATTTGTTTTTTATTGAAAATAAACATTTCCATAATGTATAAGTATTAAATATATGTATAATATCTTGATTAATTGTATGAATATTTAAAATTTAAATCGCCTATAATAATAATCCGTACTTTGA